GAACCATGCTTTAGGCTTTCACCCCAATCTCAGTAGTTAGTCTCAGGGACAATCATAGAACTTACTAAATATAGAATAGCGTTACATTGGGAATTTAGAGGTAAGAACAATACCATCATATTCAAAATAATCTCTACATTTCATAAATATGTTCATAAGGGTTAGGGCCTCTGGCTTCTCTCTTTATATCACTTACATGCATAGATATATCATTTTTTGTAAGTTGGGTGATACCTAGAGTAACAAGGGTGACTCTATTGGTCATTTCCTTATTGGTAACAGTTGAAAGGTGTTTGAGTTGTAATGCATTTGTGTTAAACAAAAAAGTTACCCCCTAACTTATTTAAGTTGGTGCATTTCTTATAAAGTATGAATATCGTAAACTTTTTTAGAGTTGTTCCTTTGGTGGTGGTCTAGACTAGAATATGCATTTGTATTAACCGAAAACCCAGATTCAGGGGACTCTAACCTTGAACCTAGGGCTACATTAGAGCTATAGATTTGATATTGCATAGCATATACAATTCATTAGCATATATTAGCAATTAGAACCACCAGCCTTTTAGGGGGGGGGGAAGGGGGAATTCGAGTTGTGGATCCCTATCTCCATTCATTGTTTTTATATCAATATATAATACTCATTCACCTAGAGGTTAGGCCCTTTCCGCGTTTTTTTTTCTCATTAGTAGTAGATATCTAGCGAAGAGGAGTATCTATACCTCTTCATTTGGCGACCACAATGGGATGCAAATGAAAAGGTATGGATACTCCTCTTCACTAGATATTTACTGCTAATGAGAAAACAAAGGGGGGAAAGAGCCCGATCTCTAGGGGTTGAGAGGGAAAGATGGGTGAATTGAGTGCTATATATTGATATGAAAACAATGAATGGAGATGGGGATTCATAACTTGGATTCCCCCCCCCCTTTAAAAGGTTGGCAGTTCTAACTACTAGCATATGTTAATGAATTATATGCTGTGTATAATCAAATCTATGGCTTCAATACAGCTTTGGGTTCAAAGTTGGAGTCCCTTGAGCCTGGGTTTCAGCATTGATGAAGACATTGATCTTCCCTAAGGGGGGGAGAGTGTTGTAAATGTGATTATGGGTATTAAAAATTACTTGTTAGCAAGTCTTTTTAGATATTCTTCTTTTACTACTATGATAGTAAAAGGTTAATATTGTTAAACCCTTTATTAATCTCCACCCAAACTAGTTGAGAAAATGATTATCATGTATGTACTTATGCAAGATAAACATAAAGTAGAAACTCCTATATATTTATTGTTGAGCACACTTGGCTCGGTATGAAAAACTCATATAGATGCTAGTGAGGAAGGAGGAGAGGATGAGGCATACCCTCCCCCACCCCCCCCCCCCCCCCCCTCTTTCTTATAGAGAATTCACTTTTTTATTTTTATTTTTTTTAAAATTCTAGATGGGTTATATAGTTGATTCTAGCATGCCAATCACAAGATGAATTCAATAGAGATAACATCTATAGAGGAGAATGCCTCATATATTTTGGAGACAACATATATTAAATTGTGTGTGCCCATTTGCAACTTTTTTCACCTTGAAAATAAAAGCTTTTCTTAATAATCAACTCCCTTGTTCCAAAAGTATGAAGCTAAGGATTTAGTTTTGAATTATGTTAGAGTTGGGACTATAGATTAGTAGTTGGATTTGAGAACTACTAAAGAGGCCTTTCAAGAAAGTGTTAAGAGCAACTCTTACTCTCAAAAGGGTGGCTCAAATGGAATGGTGTCATTAATCTTCACTCCTTTCTAAAGGGTTTATGCCTTTCCTTTGGGATGGAGAAAATGTTTCCCTTAAATTAAGAAAGGCTTGGGATTTAGAAAGTGTTTTGTTATATGAAGGGAATTTAAAAACTTAAAAGCACTATTGTGCTTAAGTCATGGATTCCTAAACTCTCTCTTCTAATCCCCCTTTCTGATATAGATTGAATTTAATGTTTGGAACAATAGATAACACCTTGTTAATTGTGCAGTGAATAAAATCAAATAAAAGTTGGTATAATAGAAGTGAACCTTAGGAAAAGAATTTAATTATAGCCAAATCAAAGATGATTGGATAAATAAAGTAAGTTGACAAATTGACAAAAGAAAAATTTATGGCTTATAGACAATGTTTGACATGACCTACTGTATTATATGACGCAATCAAGATAGATATATAGATCTGATTGAAAATTTCATGTTGGGAAGTCCAAATTAGAAAAGAATTGAAATATAATCCACCATCTGGTTCAATGAGTAATAATGAGTAATATTTAACAACAGTCTGATAAATTGCTTCTACCCATTAGTCTGAAGTTATATTTGCCCTAGGTGAGAGCTAATCCAATAGCCACTTTTTTCCTGTCTCCTCTTGCCATTCTCACAATGTTGCACTATAAGATTATTTTGGTATACTTTTCCAATCAAGCAGCTGAAAATTTATATATACACCAAGCCTATGCAATTCACATGAGTGAGATGGCCATGCCATGGGTACTCTTTATAGTTTAGAGGAATAAATATGGGAATGTTTTCCATTCTATATTCATTCTTAACTATATAAGAGCCAATTGTTTTACCATAACTTGCCTCAGAACTGCGAGCCACCCATTATCTATTGTTGTAGATATGACTTACTCTTACCATCCACAACAATCACCAGGTCCAAATCTCCACTCAAGCTTAGATTAAATATAGTTTAAAGAGATTTCCGTAAGAATGGTCAATTAGTTGACAAAACGGACCAAATTTCCTAAAGAATATTCATTTATCCTTTTTCAATCCCAAGAAGAATATCGAGAAGATTTTGGCCGAGGGATGGAGATATATATCCCATGAGCTGGGAGAATCGAATCGATAAATTCTTGGAACCCTTGTTCTAGGGGCTGGATGGAATGGGGGGCAAATGGAGCTTGGCGACGGGCGCCTTGCGCTGGGAGTGATCCAGGGCGATCCAATGCCAGCGGCAGTGGATTTCTGCGTTGTCGAGGCTAGGGCAATCACGAAATGGATCGATCGATTCCAGTGCGAGCGCGATCCAGGTAATCTCTCCATTTTACGCAGCTGTAGAAGAAAACAAGGAAAAGAAAAAAGAGAGAGCTACAGGCCAGGCCAGACAAGACTGACAAGCGAAGAGGAAGATTAGATAGATAGAGATAGCAAAGGAAGGGATGCAAATCAATGCCATTTCACGCGCTCCGAGATGGAAGAGTAGGAACACAGTGCTCTACTGGAGTAGCAGTAGCAGTAGCAGTATCAGCGTCAGGCACAACAAAGGTCTGGAAAATCACAGGAATTCTTCTTTCTCCTTGTCCAGGTATGTTCTCGGGATAGATAAAACTCTTGCTAGAGGCCGAGAGGGGCATTCCAAGGCAGGGATCCAAATTGAGCCATGGGAAGCTCGCGCTTCTCTCCTGCTGCTACATTTCGATTCGCAGCAGCAGTGGCAGCAGAGCTAGCAACAAGCCCGCAAGGCAGTGGCACGAATCAGACTAGTAGCGAGAACATCAACAACACCAGCAGCGTTCCAGCTTCGTTCCGGCCGAGCATCGCAGTCATTGTGGGAGTTCTCACGACGATGTTCTCGCTCACTTTCCTACTGCTCATCTACGCTAAGCACTGTAAGAGGAATCCGGGTGGAGTCTTTGGAGGTGGTGACGAGCTCCCAATGATTTTGCCGCAAGGTCACCAGCAGCAGCAGCTCCTTTTCGGCCGGACCGACACTGGCATCGACTCGGCAGTGGTGGAAGGGCTTCCGACGTTCTCCTTTTCGTCGCTCAAGGGGAACAAAGACGGCCTCGAGTGCGCTGTGTGTCTCTGCAAGTATGAGGAGCGCGAGATACTTCGGCTTCTTCCCAAGTGCAAGCACGCCTTTCATGTCGACTGCGTCGATACTTGGCTTGGATCTCACTCGACGTGCCCGCTGTGTAGAAGCCATGTTTCTGCCGAGGATCTCCTGGTGGTCGATGAGATGATGCTGCTCATGCTCTCCTCCAGGAGGAGATCACTGGATCAAGTTCCTCAGCAGCAGCCTTCGAGAAGTTCTTTGGATATCGACATGGGATCGGCTCACGGTACCGGCTTCCAGATCTACATCCAGAGAGAGGACAACGACGAGCCGGCCTATTCCTTGAATGCGGTGGCGGAAGAGTCCGAATCCTCTGGTTTTGTTGCGGCGAGCTCTACTCCTCGAGAACCGGCTAGATCAGATCATGGCTGTCTGCGGAGAGTGGGTCACAGGATCATTGTCTCAGACGTGTTGCTACAAAGGAGATGGAGTGATTTGGTTCCGTCGGACGTGCTTTTCCTCGGCAGCTCACAGGCACTCTTTTGTCCGAGCGTAGAGCACGCGAGTTTCGCTCACCCCAAGCAGCCTTCCTCGCTACTCAAGAGAGCTTTGTCGCTTGGAAGAAACGTAGACACGATGGGCAGTACTCGCTCGTCCGTGGTGTGCTCCCAGCGGTGTATGTCCGAGATGACAGGACTGGACAGGCTACACAACAGCTCGACGTTGTTCTCCAAGAAGGACATCCTTGCTTCGAGTACCCGGCATCAAGTTGACGAGCACGAGGAGGCTAGCCGAGTGATGTGGAGGTCCATTGCCAGAAGGACTCTCAACTGGCTGATGAGAAGGGAGAGCAGTAGCAGCAGGATCATCAACTCAAGCACGACTTCTTTTCCGTGGGTCGGAGGAGGGCCTTACAAGCATTCAGTGACAACAGGAGCAGCAGTATAGCAGCGTCAGCAGCGGGATTTAAGTGATGGACAGTGGCGAGTCACGCAAGGCACAGGAAAATTCCCAGGAGCACGTAGAATAAGAAGAAGGCAACAAGAGAGATGAGCTCAGCAGGCAGTGGAGTGGGAGAAAGTGTTTTGCTACACGTTGATGTTGAAAGAGCGAAGGCACAAATGGTTGGCACCTCCCCTCGATGGAGAAGGTTTCGTCAACGAGCAAGATCCAACTTGTTCTACGCGAGATGACAACTTAACGTATGAATGAGGCGAGCTTGGCTTCACGGGTGGAACAGGAAGAACGGGAAAGGTGGTCTTCATTCCCAGGCAGCCACAGTTCCAGCTCCAGTTAAAGACAGCTTCGATCACACTTGGTTTGAGGATTGGAAGAAGCAGAGGCTGGAAGATGCATTGCAGAGGCTGGACGAGTTTGAGAGTCTTCATAGCAACGTATACGCCTTGCTCTTGCGGAAGTGTGGTGCGGCCAAGGATTTGCGTGCTGGGAGGCATGTCCATCTTCGCATCCAGGAGAGGAATCCATGCGCGGACGAGACGTTTCTGGCGAACTTGGTGGTGGAGATGTATGGGAAGTGTGCCAGTGTTACGGACGCTCTCGTGGTCTTTGACGGGATCTCGGTAAAGAACGTCTTCTCGTGGACGATGATGATGGCAGCGTATTCCCAGAACGGGCATTACCGAGAAGCTCTGGAGCTTTTCACGAGGATGCAGTGGGAAGGGACGAGACCGGACAAAGTCGTGTTCGTGATTGCTCTTGACGCATGCGCAGCTTCTGGAGAGCTGGATCATGGACGACAGATTCACTCTTCGGTGGTGGACAGCGGATTGACGAGCAACATCATTATCTCCAACTCGCTCGTCAACATGTATGGGAAATGCCAGGACGTGCCTTGTGCCGAGAAAGTTTTCGATGGGATGCTGCTGCGAGACGTGGTGTCGTGGACCGCAATGCTGGCTGTCTACGCTCAAAACGGGTGCTGGAGCCAAGCTCTCCAGTGTTTGTCGAGAATGGACGCCGAGGGAGTGAAGCCCAACCAAGTAACTTTCGTCACCATTGTCGACGTTTGTGCCAAGTTGAGGCTGCTGGACCTGGGAAGAAAAATCCACCACCGCATCATCAACGAAGGACTCGAGCCGGATGGAATTCTTGGAAATGCTCTGGTTCACATGTACGGGAGCTGTGGGAGCTTTGACGACATGAAGAGCGTCTTTAGCAGGATGGGACAGAGCAGTGTTCTTCTCTGGACGACCATGATCGCCGGTTGTTCTCAAAACGGGCAGTACGAGGAAGGATTGTTGGTCTTTCGGAAGATGGACCTCGAAGGTGTCAAGGCCAACGAGGTGACTTACATGAGCATGGTGGAAGTTTGCCGGAACTTGGATGCTGTCAAGGAAGGGGAGATGATCGATGCCCGGATTTTGGAGAGTCCTTTCTGCTCCAGCACGCTGCTGGCGACGTCGCTCATCAGTCTGTATGGCCAGTGTGGAATTCTCGATCGAGCAAAAGGCCTGCTCGAGCACATGTACCAGCGAGATGTGGTTGCCTGGAACGCAATGGTAACGGCTTGTGCTCAAAACGGGGATAACTGGGAAGCGATTCATTTGCTGCGAAGGATGGATATGGAAGGCTTCGGTGCCAATAAGGTGACTTACCTCAGCGTCCTCGAGGCCTGTGCGAACTTGGAGGCTCTCTCACAGGGACGAGAAATCCACGCGAGAGTACTTCTGTGCGGGCTCTTGCAACGGGAGGTTGCGGTCGGGAATAGCGTGATAACCATGTATGGAAAGTGTGGACAAACAGAGGCCGCGATGAGCGTCTTCGAGGCCATGCCTCGGAAAGACGACGTTTCCTGGAACGCTGTTATCAACGCAAGCGTAGGCAACTCAAAGTTCCAGGACGCTCTGGAACTTTTCCACGGGATGGAGCTAGAAGGCTTGAGGAGCAACGAGTTTACGCTGCTCAGCCTCTTGGAAGCGTGCGGCGGCCTGGAAGACTTAAAGCTGGCGAGACAAATTCACGCGCGAGCTGCTGCTGGAGGCTTCGGTGGTAACAGCACTGCCGTTGGGAACAGCGTCGTCAACATGTACGCTCGCTGTGGAAGCTTGCTCGACACGAAGAAGGCCTTCGATTCTCTGGAGGAAAAAGGCCTCGTGGCGTGGAGCATAATGCTGGCGGCCTACGCTCAAAGCAAAGATGGATCCGGCAGGAGAGCCTTTAAGTTCTTTCAAGAGATGGAGGCCGAAGGAATCAAGCCGGGAGAGGTGACTTTCGTGAGTGCTCTCGACGCCTGCGCGGCCATGGCGACTCTGGAGCACGGAAGATCCATGCACAGGCGAGCAGCAGCCAGCGGCTTCGTGGAGACGAGTCTCGTTCTCGGCAACACCATCATCAACATGTATGGAAAGTGCGGCAGCCCGAGCGACGCAAAGCTGGTCTTCGATCAAATGCCGGAGAAGTGCCTCATCTCGTGGAACTCGCTCATCGTCGCCTACGCTCACAACGGTCACGCGCTGGAAGCTCTTTCCTCGCTCCAGGAGATGCTACTCCAAGGCTTCGATCCCGACAGTGGCACCTCTGTCAGCATTCTCTACGGGCTCAGCCACGCCGGTTTGCTCGAGCGAGGAGTGGAGCACTTCCGGTCGAGCATCCAGGACCACGGCTTGGAGCCGAGCTCCGGCCAACTTAAGTGCCTCGTCGACTTGCTGGCTCGCAAAGGCTTTCTCGACGCGGCGGAGGAGCTCATCCTCGCCTCGCCGGCGTGCCAGGCCGATACCATCGCCTGGATGACGCTCCTGGCGGCGTGCAAGAGCTATGGCGATCCGCAGCGCGGGATCCGGTGTGCCGAGCGTGTTTTCGAGCTGGAGCCACAGCACTCGGGATCGTTCGTGGTGCTGGCCAACTTGTACGCATCGGTTGGAAGATGGAGCGATGCGTCCAGGATCCGGAAGATGATGGAACGGATGAGCGTGAAGAAGGAGCCCGGGTGTAGCTGGATCGAGCTCAGCGGCAGCGTCCACGAGTTCATCAGTGGCGAATCCAAGCATCCAAAGATCAGGGAGATTTGCGAGGAGCTGGAGAAGCTCACGCTCCGGATGAGGGAGGCGGGGTATGTTCCCGACACGACAAACGTTGTTCACGACGTGGAGGAGGGCGACAAGGAGGAGATACTGTCCCGGCACAGCGAGAGGCTGGCCATTGTGTTTGGTCTCATGTCCACCCGGCCGGGAGAAACGATCCGGGTGGTGAAGAACTTGCGGGTCTGCTCCGACTGTCACGCTGCGACTAAGATCATCTCCAGTGTCGTGGGACGAGAGATTGTGGTGAGAGACAGCAGCCGCTTCCACCATTTCAAGCACGGGCAATGCTCGTGTGGAGACTTCTGGTGACACGAAAGCCAGCGTATCTGTAAAAATCACGTCATGCTACTTTAGCAAGAACTACATTTAGTTCCAGTGGCAGAGGGAGTAGTTAACATGTTACTTTAGCAAGAACTGCATTTATATTCAAGTCAACGTCGTGGACTAAAGAAGTTGACTAACAGCTTGTATCAGCCTTGTAGGTGAGAAAATACTTCATGTAATCAGCGAAAGAGATGTCTCGATAAAGAGGTGGGGGATCTTCGCCGAGGAGCTGTTTTGTGGGGGACATGATGGCAGGAAACTCGGGTCCATGAAACAGCACCACATAGAGCCGGTCCTTCTTTGTGTTAACGATAACTTCTGTGATCAACACTCCTGTAGATTCCATTGCTAATCACCTGTCGGAAGCTCTGACGAAAAAGTTCTCAAAAGCTTTACATCTCCTTGATCATGAAGCTCCCGGAAGAATCCTCGAGACGGGCAGCCACTTACCATCCTTGCAGCTAGGACCGTCCGCGTCTTCGATCACGACAGTGATGATGGTTGCGTCCGAGTGAGAGCTCAGGCCGAGAACTTCGTCCGGTTGGGGACAGGGCGGATAGTAGTTCACTCGCATCAGTGACGCATACTCCCTGCTCAGCTTCTCGATGTAAGCAAGCAGATAAAGCTTGTCATCATTAGTCTGGTAGCAGGAATCTCTGCAAGTCTCGGCTTGCCGGAAGATGTATTCTTCTGTGACAATGATAAAAACTCGTCAGTGGAGAGAAAAGAAGAATCAAGACCTTTCATCTGCCTTTCATCTACAGCGGAAACAAGCTTAAACGAAGCTCACGATCAAATTTGAGGCACTGGGTCTGGAAAAACATTTAAATTCGTGGAGCTGCCGGCTTACCAGAGAGAAGCAAGTATTACGTCCAGCCTTTCATCACCGTGTTCACTGTGGCGAGAAACGTCATTGGCTTTCCCGAAATCTATTCGTGCCGCTCGGACCAAGCTTAACTTCGTGTAAGTGTAACTTCGTCCGGGACGGTGGAGGCTTTCGATTTTGTGGACGGCATTGCTTCTGTAGAAAAACTTCGTTCGATTGACTGATTGATTGATAAAAAGTAGCAGCAGTGATTGGAAAGCTAACCTTCGCTGGGAGCTTTGAAACGCTAGTTTGTGGGAGGCTTTTCTTTATGAGATGCATGGCGTCCCAGAGCATCTCCCACTCTGCGTCTTGGCTGCCTTGAGTCCGTTGTAGGCTGCCACCACAGATATCACGAACACCTGTGAAGCAACAAAGTTAACATGTAATGGAGAAGAAGAAATGCTTTCATCCCATGCACAGTTGAAATCTTGAGCCGGAAGGACACAAAGACTACCCTTCGGGAGTGGCATGAACAGTCTTGCATTGGTCATGGTCATGACCCAAGAACACCATAGAAGAACACAGGTTTCTTTGCAAACCAAAATCAAATAAAATACATGAGCATACACTGTGGAAGAACATCGTACATTACCCTTCCGGGTGACCAGTTCGTCCTAAGTCTGTAGCCAATCAACAGTGAAAAGACCTTAGAAATTACCTGAGAAAAGCTTACTTGACGCATCCGCAGGGTCTGTTGTCTGGTCTAAACAATGCTATATGTCATCAGAAAAGCACGGTCTTTGAAATAGCAAACATCAGAATAAGAAATCACATTGCTTACCGGAGGTTGCGACAAAGGTCCAAGAAACATTTGTGTAGGGAGCCTGTGAACAAGAGAATTTGGACTGTAAGAACTTAAAAGAGAAAACTGGCTTAAACGCGTACCATAGAGAGCTTGCGAGTTCACGAACACGAAGTCCAAGCTACCAATGCTGTGAACGCATCAGTTTCACCAGATTTCGTCAGGCTATCTGCGAAGAAGTCCATAGTTGCAAGCCAAAGAAAAAACAAACAGAGAAATTCCAATCCTCTACTGAAGGAGAATCTCCTCCACGAATCACGTCTTCGATCACGATGTAATCGTCGGGCAAGCCGAGACTTGCAGAGGTTGCTGCGAATCTGCTCTCCAGTCACCTCTCTGCAAAGAATGATAAAAACTCGCCAATGGAGAGAAAAGAAAGAAAAGAATAGAAACGAACACAAAGTTGGGATGTCTCAACTTTTCTTGAACGGTCATATCGAGAATGTCCACCCAGTCCAGGACCGAATGAGAGGACGTGCCGTAGCGTCTGTATCCCATGAGAGCACCGGTGGTCTAAAATGGCAGAATGCCTGAAGACGCCGTGGTTGATTACCTGAAAGTAGAAAGTATGAGAGAGGAAAAATGTTTTTAAAAAGCGAGCTCCTGGAAAAATCCCCAGTCTTTGCAAGCTTTTCCAGGCCGAGTTTCAACTTCTCTCCGAAAAACTCTACATACCAATAACGGAAATGCTCTCGTCAGATTCATTCTGGACGGCCTTTTCAATCTCTTGCAAGAAACTAGCTGGGATTTCTTTCATCTCGGCAATCTGCTGTACAACTTCGCTGCTATAATATTTTGCTGCAGTAAAGTCTGTTATGTCATTCTGAAAGATCAATCAAGTTTATGTACCATGCACATTGTCTCTTCGAATATCGCAGCCACCGGAAATGCCAAGATTCTCAGGCAAGGTACCTGGAACAAACAAGACAATACACTGGAACACGTTGCAACCGTTGACAACGAAAGAGAGATTGTTGATCCAGAAGTCATAATTCCAATTAAGATTTAGAACCTCAAGGGACGTCCATGTTCTTTAGGACCTCCATACATTGCCCTCGTGTAGCAGAAGAATAGGGGCGTGTCGAGGTTTTGCTAAGAAAACAATACCAAGGTCAGCTGTTACCATGAAGAATGTGTGTACCTTGGCAGTTTCTCGATCATGGCTTCTTGTGGTACTTTGCGGGGACGAAAGGCATCTTGGTGATAACTCCCGCGTTCTTCTTGTCTCGAACAGCCACCGAGATAGGCGTGCCCTCCTTGTGATTCCCAGTCGACACATACCCCATTGCAATGTTCTTCTTGAGGCAGGGACTAAAGCCACCGCTCGTCACCTCGCCAATCACCTCGTCACTTGCGTTGTAGATCGGGCAGTGAGCGCGAGCTGGAGCTCCTTCGGATATCATTCCCACTCTCTTCCTGGAAACGCCTTCCTTGAGCTGCTTGAGTATCACGTCGGCCCCTAGAAAGCCACCTTCGGCACGTCTTCTCTTTCCAATCGTCCAGGCGACTCCAGCTTCCACAACCGACGTGTTGTCGTCCATATCATGTCCATAAAGGCACAAGCCGGCTTCCAGTCTCAAGCTGTCCCTTGCTCCTAAACCAGTGAGAAGGATCTTCCCCTCCGACTTCTCCAGAAGTGCCTTCGCCAGCTCCACACCATGCTCCGACGGAACAGAGATCTCAAACCCATCCTCTCCAGTGTACCTAAAAAGACAAGTGTTGCTCTTAGAAGAACAAGAAGAGGAAAAGAAACTTACCCGGTTCTAGTGATGAAGCATTCGGCACCATTGACAGAGAGGATCCTGAAGTTTCCAAAGTAGACTTTGCTCAAATCCTCCTTCACCAGATGCTGTAGTGTAGACGCAGCCAGCGGGCCTTGCAAAGCGAGCAGAGAGCGCTCATCGTGAACGTGAGAGCTCACGTCCTTGCCTTTGGACTTGTACGCTTCCAGGTGCTTGCCAATGTGAGCCAGATCCTTGTCTCGGCAACCCGCATTTACCACCAGGTAGACGTGACCATCTTTCACTTTGGTTATCACAGTGTCGTCGATGGTTCCTCCCTTCTCGTTGGTGAACGCCGAGAGAGTACACGAGCCGTCTGACAGACCCGCGATATCACCCACGACCAGCGTCTCGAGGAAAGGAATCGCGTCCTTGCCTTTGAGGGTGAGGCCACACATATGAGACACGTCGAAAAGGCTACCATTCTGGCGACAATTGAGCGTCGAGTTGAGGATGGTGTCCTTGTACAGCAGCGGCATGCTCCATCCAGCAAAAGGCACCATCTTTGCCCCGTTCTCCACGTGAAAATCATACAGCACCGTCTTCTTTAGCGGAGGAGACTCACTGGCAAGAGGCGCTGCGCTTGCAAACCCACGACGAATCTGTCCTCCCGCATTGCTCACCAGTCGACCCAACTTCTCCGCTACTAGCTTCCTCATCCTCTTTCTCCTGCCTCCAAAGAAATCCCTAGCCCGAGTTCTAAACCTCTGTTCCTGCTACTAATAAACTAAAGCCGTCCCTGCTATAGCTTCCGCCACTCAATCACGAGGTCCACATATCGCGAAACCTATCCACGAGCCAGCCCCCATCTTTATCAGCTTATAAGACCCTTTCCAAGGCTTGATAGGACCAGTTTACCACCCTGTTTGCTGCTGTCTTGTCGACGGTAATGCCATTTTCTTCAACTGCTCGCATGGCCTCCGCTTGAGTGGCTTGGAATTTTGATGCGGCTTGCTGGAGTTTGCACGACAAGTCTTCACGCTTTACGAAGACAAGGATTTGTAGCAGAGGCCTGAGCTCGTCTGCCAGCTGCGGACTTATAGCCATGTTCTTAAGGTGCTCCACTAGAGCAAGCTCTTCTCCAGGACTTAAAAAAACAAGAGGTAGGTTAGAATCGAAACGAAGTAGCATAAGTTCCTTTTACCTCCCTGCTCGAACTTTGCCTTGGCGTCTGGCTCGGGTTCTTCCTGTCGCTGCTGTTCTTGCAGTCCTGACACAACCTCAAAGTTAAGATGGCAAAAAGAAGTAAAAAAGATCAGCAAACGTACCCGCGTGTATAAACACTCATCCCACTCAAGTTGCTACTAGCCTCTGATGCGGTGTCGTCGTCGAAACGGTCTTCTCCTTGATCCGATTTTATCTTCGCTTCCAGCAGTACCCTGCGCTGATGTACCGCAACAAATCGAGCACAATACTTCCCGACTTTCTCGACGCCCTCCTGGAACTGACCAACCAATCCATTTGCGCACTCCACAGCAGCTGGCTGTACTATAGTATCCACGATATCGGGCTGAGCATGAAGGTAGCACAGCCGAAGGACTTCCATCCAGTCCCTTGCCTCGATCAAAAGGCCGACAGCATCCTTGACGTCCTTACAATAATCCAGAGCTACTCTCGCAGCTTCTTTTGGCTGTCCCATTGCTTGGAGTTCTTCTCGGAGCTCTAGTGCAAGGTTGGTGATCTCGTCCGGTGTCATGCTCAACTGGCCAGCAACCATGAGCACACCCTGCCAGTGACCGCCAGCACGGTACGCAGCTAAAGCCTTGTGGAGCTGCGAGCAGGACCTGAAAGTGATAGCTGCATCCTCAAACCTTTCCTGAGAAAGGAAGTATTCTCCCCAAGCCTCCATAATAGACGACCTTTGGCTCTCGCCTGTAAAGATGGAGAGTGCGAGAGAGAAGAGCTCCGGATGACTTTGGACGTGATCGAGTGCCTCGTTGAAATACGTCTCCCCGGCGCTCGAAAGGTGTCGCAGTGCACTTGCATATCGTTTTAGCTTGCAGTCGATCTTGTAGCACATTATGGAGGGTGGCATGTCTTCTAGCTCCTGAAGGAAAGGAAGGAACTCTTTAGGATCTCGCTGGGAGTGAGACGCCACCATTGCAGCTAGATGCAAGTCGTAAAGTCCCAGCGCCGCATCAAACACCGCGTCGGCGTCCGCGAGCCATATCAGGTGCTTTAGAGCGCTCTCCGCCACAAGTTTTCCCTGTGACTCAATTGCTTCCAGAGCCTCCTCATCATCTGAAGTCCCGAGACCAAGCTCTCCTTCACGTAGTAGCTTGATGCGTTTCAACGCCTCTTCGAGCAAAGGCGGATCGTTTCGAGCAAGAATAGTCAGCAGGCACATCTCTCGAGATGGACTATCTGTTACGTGATTTTCGACAGCACTTCTCAGCGCTTCTAATACCACTTGCATCTTGTTGGATGAAACCGCCGGGACCATCCTGTCCTCCGGATTCAGCGTAGACAATGTCTTCTTGTACGTCGTTTCCAAAACGTTCTCGTTTCCCAGGCAGCTAACCAGCTCCGTGACAAGGCTAAGTTTGCCGACTTGCTTGACAAAGTCCGGGGCCAAACGGGAAAACTCCTTCTCACCAAGGAAGTCCACGATGACGTTTAGATCAATCCTGTGCCGCCGCGCGCAGGTGATAGCTTCTGCAAAGTCTTGCTCAGCTAGTGCCGCTTCGACAGCGTGAAGTATCAATCCCCGTGGATAAATGGTTTCGAGATTCCCACGGCTGGGTTGCATGATGACCGCAACGTCGCTGCCACCTAGCGTAGAAACTATCCTGGCTCCCCTCTCCCAAACACGCTGAATGTTGAAATCCTTCGGCGCTGGTTGCCGTTTACCGCTACCAACGTCTAGTACTTCCGGAGGAGAAGACGTGAAGTTGCTGCTGCCGAGAGGGATAATGTGGAGCAAGTCTTGCCTTGTTGTATAAACCAAGTGAACGACGCTTGGCCTCGCTTTTGTGGATGTGATGTGGAGTGCAAACCCGGTGCACTCGCTGCTGATGACGGAATTACGAAAATGGAGCTGGCCGCGTTCGTCAAGGCCGACGAACTGCACCTGTCCCTTATCTTCAAAAGCTTGCATCCACGGACATGCAACTGGAAACTTTCCAACCGGAGTAAGCTCTCCAGCGCAATGGTTCAGGATCGATCCGTCATTTAGCTGTAGAAAAGCCTGCGAGCTCTCTGTAAGGGGACTTCTCGCCGCTGCTATGAGCGGCTTGTCCAAATAGACTAGAGAAAGAGAACGCGAAGTCCATCCTTCTCCAGAATCTGTAGCCTCGAACTCAGTAAACTGTAACGAACCGTGACCGCTCGAGCTGTCTAGGAGTCCACAAAACCTGTTCGCTCCCGTAGAAATCAGGTTCCTCACACCACCATCGAAGTTCTGCAATATGTATCCCACAACTTCACTGTCTTCCAGATCATTCCAGCCGTCACTAGTTGCGAGAACAGCAAGGCCAAAACTTTTGTCTGATAAACTGGCTGCAACGGTGGTAAAACCAGAAGACTCGCTCGTAAGTGTCACGGTATTCACAGGTGCGGGGAATCGTACCTTGGAGAAGTACAAAGGTGGCGGAGTCATACAGACAGCCAATGGTGTGACCAAAAGACTCGGGCCATCAATAACCAGCGCCACCGAAGAGTCCAGCACAGCCGACTTCCAACCCAAAGTGGTAGCTTTGATGTTGCCCAAGACAGTCCAAACCATGGCACTGAGAGGCTTCTCTGGGTGCCACACTGTGCTCACGGTCTCTTTGGACGTGTAGCGCCATTCCTGTTTCAAGTACCAGTGATAGTTGCTGCAGTACCAGAACTGGATCGCGTCCCAGCCATCACACCTGACAACCATCTTCATGACTTCTCCGCTGGAATCCCACTGCAGACTTTCTACACGAGCACCGGCAGGAGCAGTAACCTGGAAATAATCTTTTTTCAGACCATTCCGCTCGAAGATCGTCACACTGGGAGCCTGGTCTGCCTTGGAAGTGCTGGCAGCAATTCGAGCACCACTCGGACTCCAGCAGATGCTCGAGCGATGCGTCGATGGCAATGCTTCACAGCTCGAATGGAGTTTGCCCGTTTCTCTTTCCCAGATCTTCACGACACTGCTGCTTTCTTGAGCATTGTATTCGCTTGTAGCAAAGTACTTCCCGTCAGCCCGCCACGAGAGTTCCACAGCGCTACTAGAAAATTCCTGGCGATCGTTGTTTTTGATCGAAAACTCGTGGACAGTGTCCCAGTTTGCTGGAGTCATGAGTAAGATCTGCCCGAGTCCTGATACTATAGCTAACAGTTCCCCATCCGGACTAGCAGCGAGACTAAGAATCCCTCCCTGGAGCGAGCCAATAACTTCTATGGCGCTGCTAGACCGTGGCTCAACCAGTACCAGATCACCGCTCTCCATGCCAATGACCAGCGCTTCCAGCTCCAGCAGGAATTCCATCCCGACCACGCCGGCGTCGAACTCGATGGCACTCGCCAGGGACAGCGAATGCCGCGAGAGCTGATCAAGAACGAAGAAGACGATCCACGATTGGCAAAATATTTCGGATTGAACCGACATACCTCATCTTCCCAGTGGAGATTGCCGCCATTCGAGAGAAAGAAGGCGCGATCGTGCCCGCTGTCGACTGCCGCCGCGACGATCTTCTCATCGCCGAGCTCCAGCCGCGAATGCCTCTCTCGCAAAACCTCCAAGTTCTTCATAGCTATTCTAGAACCCTAAGGCTTAAAAAGATTTTCATTTCTATACAGTATAGAAGCTGTGCTTATTAGACAGGGTTCTATCGACCAATCCAGTCATTTCTTCGCGGAAGATTTCGCTCCTCCCCCGGCAGCATTCGATCCAGCCCCTGCTTCTCCGCCCGCGGCTTTGCGAGCGTTTTTCTCCTGGAGCGCCTTCGCATCTCTGGGAATCAAAAGAGAAATCCACCCAGTTTCCTCACGAATCGATCGAAATTTCGGGCTACCTCTCTCTCCTCTGCTCCGGCGTAAGATCATCCTTTGGCTTGCCGCCTTTGGCGGATCTCGCCTGAGCCCTCTCGCGATCTTTCTCTCGCTGATTTCCCCGTGAGAGATTCGCTAAGGATCAAGCAAACAGAAGAGAAACACGAAGAAGAATCAAGGATATTGGTCATTGCTCCAAATCCAGCAAGCGCCTTCCGCCCACGCCCTGCCCTAGCTACCTTTGACCTATCGTTCTAAAATTTTCGCTGGATGAATGTATCTAGATCGTGGCCGTGCGTTTCTAGATTAAAATATTCAGGTCCGTCGGATCTAGGGTTCTAGAGCTGGTCTGGCTATGGAGCGGGAAGTGCCCGACATCTCTAGGTGGGTAATCGTCTACCCTGTTTACATCAATTCGAAGAAGACGCTGGCGGAGGGCCGACGCATCGCCGCCAATCTTGCGTGCGAGAACCCCACTCTCGGTGAGATCGTCGAATCGTGCCATCTCCTCAAGCTCTCCACTGCCGCCGAGGTACTGGGTCTCTCATCTCTCCAGATCTAGCTCTATCTCACGAGAATTCCCCTCTCTTGTGGCAGCCCGAGAAGGCGTATTCTCGGGATTTCATGCAAAGAGGCCGGGTGAGAGTCCAGCTCTTCCAGAAGAACGCTCCAAAGACTCCAGTGAACCCCGGCATCACTTCGAGTAAGTTCTTCCCATCTTTTCTTCCTAGATCACGAAACCTTTGGACAGGGAAAGCTCTAATGCTCAAGATCGCCGAGCTGGTTCCCACTCGAAGGAGAGACCATCAAAGCCATGCCGCGGCGAGCAGTCATTCTGGAGCTTCGGCATCTTCCGGGAGGGGAGGAAAGGGAGGCAGGAAAAAGAAGTGATCGATCGTTTCGAATCACGATCGAGCGCCAGGAGGTTTGAGATGAAAGTCTTTTCATCCATAAAGGCTCATGTTAAATCATCAACCTTTCAGGAAAATGCCTTGATCAAAACGTTGTCAATCCAATTTCTTTCATTTTGCTCGTGATACATAGGCTATCTAAAATTTGCCACGGTTGCAATAGGGCTCATGGCTGCTGGTCGCAGTTTCTTTGTCACAGGGTCTCCGGTAAATCACAAAGTTTTGCTTGAAAATCATATTGATCCTCGGGCTTGGCAGGGAATTGGAAAGACCACTCTTATCGTCAAGGTAGTGGAGAAACTCAGGGCTACGCATCCAAACCTCAAAGTTCAAGGCTTCTATACCAGTAAGAAAAAAATTCCTTGACACAAAATCAAAGATTGCTCATCTCTTTGTGATTTAGAGGAAGTGAGAAAGGAGGGCGAGAGAGTTGGATTCGAAGTCATCGCTTTTAATGGAGGACGCAAGGAAATGCTAGCTTCGATCAATTCTCCAGGGTATCTCGAGAACTTGTTCGTGTAAAAATCTGATTTTTACAATGTAGCCGGCTTCCTATGGTGGGACGATACAAGGTGAATGTTCCTGGCTTTGAAGCTCTCGCATTGCCCGAGCTAGAGGTAAATATATGCTGCGGTAGAACTTCACAGTTTGTCATGCTTTTGCGTTTCGCAGCCACTGGAAGACACCCAGCTTTTTGTGATCGACGAAGTTGGCAAGATGGAGCTCTTCAGCCCAAAGTTTTTTCCTGCCGTGGAAGCATTGCTACAGCGTCGTAATGCTGTGATCTTAGGCTCGGTTCCTATCAAACATTCATCCAAAGAAGGTATTGCGAAGTTTCGTAAAGAATGGGAAATGCATGACTGTTTCTTACATCTTGCAGTGGAGAAGGTCGTGAGCTTTCCGGGGGTAGCAGTTCTCACACTTGACAAGAAAAACCGGGATGAAGTTGCTGAAAAAATATACAAGGACTTGAGTGTTTTGCTTGGATGAAACTTCGTTTCGTTTCGTAACCAGAGTTTGCTGTTAGATTACTTTGATCCTAGCTGCAAAATCATGTCCAGAGCTGTTAAAGTTAAGGACAATATCAAACCTTGTTGAGTGGTTTCTCACTCGCAATCAAATTGATCCGCTCCGGTTTCCACATCCTCCGTTTTAAGATCGCCATTTTGAGCCATGAGAATTCGGTAGATTCGTCTCGAGCACGCTGGACCGACACGCCTTCGGCTGTCAGCTCCCTCCTTCTCCAGGTCTTGAAGCAAAAGTTCCTTGTCATGCACCTGGCCAAAGCGTTAAAAACTCAAAAAAGCTAGAACTCAACTGTCATTGAAGGATCCATGTAGGCGTTCAAGAGCGAACGAAACGAAGGATAGCGTTTGGATATCGCGATTGCAGCCGCTCCGGAAACCTTTGGAATCGCAACCAGAGTTTTCAGCCTGCAACCAAAGATAGGTCCAAACTTGAATGATTCTCATTCCCCATACCAGCTGCTCTTCTTGATCACTTCCTTGTTGGGATCCTTGTCCACGACATGATCTCCATTCTTGCTCACAGAAAGAGACGTGAGCCTTTGCCTGCGTCCCAAGAAAGAAGTCGTGGTTACGTCAAGAGCGAAAGAATTGGTGGCTCATCACTTGTAAGGACATTCTATCAAGCTCCGCGTGAGAGCGATGACATGATCCGCCACTTCAGCTTCATCGATACACAGGCGAGAATGTACTCCACAGTAGTTTGTCACGAGCTCCGCCAGCGCCTGGAAACAAACTAATGAAAACCAACAAGAGAAGATGAATAGAAATCAGGCACCTTGTCTGCGTTTGGCCGGAGCCATTCACTTTCTCCGCGTTTAAACTGCTCTTGATCTCTGTGCGTGTAAACTATAGAACCTGCGAACGAGGAGACATGAAAACTTACTTCTTCTGCAAGTACCAGTGGAGCTTGTTGACGAGATAACACACGGTAAATCCAGGATACTGTGCCTGGACTCGACGAACGTGTACATCCAGCGAGCCTTGGCAAAGCAGTGATGAGAATTCTTCCGCTCCAAACACGAGAAGGACGTAAGGCACGTCGACTTCCTCGAGCTGCAAGGCAAGATCAGTCCAGCACAAGACACATTGTTATTGATCACCTCTATCTCGTCATTTTCCGTGTCAAAACTCTCTGCTAGCCTCTTTGTTTTCCAGATGATACTCCCCGATATTGGATTCGAGCTGAGCGAGAACTTCAGCTCTTTACCAGCGAGACGATTCAGCAACTGGCCTGTGCGATCGAAACAGTAAGCAATTAGACCATAGAAAAAACTAGAACAGCACTTGCCTCCAATCAGTCCATTCTCTGCGACCTTGCAATCGATTATCGCAACAGTGTTCTCAGCCGAGAACTTGCCTTTCTCCCATTTCGCCTTTTGCTGCTCCTGCGTTCGTACTTGCGCTGCTTTCTCCTTAGCTCTTGCCTTCTCCAATCTTTCGGCCTAGGCAGCAGAAGAAGAAAATGAACCTTCGCGAAGAAGAACCGAGAGAGATCATACCTCTTTTTTTTGCCGCTTTTCCTCCTTCAGCCTTTGCTTCTCAGCTTCCTTTGCCTGCTTCCTCGCAGCTCGTTCCTCCTTTCGAGCTTCTTTCTCTTGCTCCAGCTTTCTTCTTTTGATTTCTCGAGGATCATCCACGGAGCTGGTCTGCGTGCCTAGAACAACAGCAATGGGGACCGATCCATCCGAGTCCGAATCCAAACACAACACATTGCTCACGCTGGTTCCTCCAGAAAAAAGACCACAAGAACTTTTCAATGTTCTAGTGGCGGTGGTGGCGGTGGTGGTAGCAATGGCAATGCTGGCAGAGGCACTCGCAAGGATGGAAGAAGACGATGCTTTCCAGTCTACAAGCAAATCCCCATCTTCGTCGTCGTCGTCTTCGTCTATTATCACCTGAGCTGGCCGAGCCATCCAATCCAACTAGCGTAAGATTTTCCCTGCTAGAGCGCTTCTACCACCGGGGAAGCTTGTCGATCATCTTTTCACGGCACCAAAATGCTGGAACTTCAATCCCGCTGGAGCCACGCTCGCTAGCTCCTAAACAACCGATCGCTTGCCTGACAAGATCCCCAGAAATGTAGCTCCTCCTCGTCAAGAACCCTAATCTGCGGGTGTAAAGAATATACCTAGCATATTCAGGTATCATTTAAGATATTCCCTAAAGTAAATCACTGTTTAACATTAATTTTATTACTTAGACCCTTGGAACTTACACTTAACACTTCTAGAGTATAAAGAGTACTTTAGTTCCATGTAACACGTTCATGTTTTTTTTCAGGTTCAGGTTTGTCCATCAATTGGATTTGTATTAAAGAGAAAAAAAGCTTCATATTACTCACTGATGGTTGATTTGGCCAAAAAGGCCATATCGTTCATGCTCCAGGTTGTGCTGAAAATAAAGAAATTCAATTTGACATTAATAGAGCACACTTGGCGTTATATGCCTAATTTCTCCTAGTATCATCCTAAGACTGACAAATGGCTTGGTTAAGCAAGTGAATTAGACACTCAGAAGGCATGATTGTGAAGTATGTAATACTAATTCTAATTGCAACTTGCTTATGTTTCACTGCCACAGAAGTCCACTAGCATCTCTCAGTCTAGCACGTTATTTGGGTGGGAGTTTGTCTTGCTTCCTGTTATGGGTTTGATGCTGATCACTCCAAGGTATCCGGAGGGGAAAACATGGTTAGAGTATTTAGACTAAGTGTTATTAACATTGTCTACACAATCATTAGAGTTTTTGGTAAGAGCACAAAAGTATCAAGAACGGACTTACAATGCATAACATAGCTCATCAAGTAGGTGATCTAGTGTTGGTGAAGTTTCTTTGCCTTAGAGATCAATATCATAGTTTATTGCTTTGGTGTATTGGATTATATTGAGCGGAGACTCAATTGGTCTATAAATTTATTGATTAATTTGAGTGGATGGAAAATGTGATTTGCAACACATAGATATGTCTCTCAAATCCAACCATTCCATAAATAATGATATTTGTAGTGTAAGGCCTTTACCATGGTAGATAAAATTTCAATGAGCTCATGTTTAAGCTCTTCTTCATGTTTAAGTGAAAACCTAAGTATATCATTCATAACATACTTAAAAATATAAGTAAGTATTGGTTAAAAAACTAGATTATGCTAGTTAGAATAATATATATATATATATATATATATATATATATATATATATATATATATATATATATATATATATCTTTTTTTTCTCTCATTTGCAAAAAAGTATGTAAACTAAGCTTTGTATTTTGGTTCAAGAAAATCAAAGAAAGCATATGATCCATACTTTTAGATATGCATAACCATTTATATATATGCTTA